ATCAAATTTTACAGCACTGGGACAATGACTTTTATGTATGGGTAATATTAAACCAGAGTCTAGAGCTGAAAATCTACTTGTAGTAATTCTTTGGGATACATTACAGTATAGTTTTACAATATAGCATCTATAAGATCTTGTGATTGCTGTAAATTAAACAATACCATCCTTGCTTAGATGTAGCTACACGCTTGTACCTCCTGTTAAGTGTGGTAGAAGATGTTTGTGAGCAAGGATTGAAAAAATACAGTAAAAAAATATAAATATAAAGTAATATTAAGGATATAAAATAGAAAGAAGCAAAATCTGCTTTCCAGGTGGAGAGGAATAAATAATTTTTTTCAAGTATATCTGTTCTTTTCAAATATACCTGAAAAGCTGTATTGCCATGAAAAGAATAAGGTGTTCAGCTGAGGATTTTACAGCTGAGGCTGTTTGGCTCACTGTGTGGCATAAAATTGCCAATTCATAGAGCAAAAATCCACAAAGTTTACCTTTGTACATATATACACATATAAGTGTGTGTTTGTAAGTTTGTTCACAAGTTTGAAGTAGTTTCTGTGCTACTCCTTTGTTGCAGTTTGGTTGTTACAAAATATTTCTTATTTGGTGGTTTAGATTAGAAGTTTGCATGAACTGGAATGAATGATTGTTGTTAATGTTTATTATAACTAGTGTAAAGTCTATGTTTTGGCAAGTTAGCTTTCATTTATTAAAAACATGGACATGCTGTCTTAAAAAACATAAGGGGTAGACTTCCTATTGCTATCCAGAATTACTCTTTCATTGGGGCCTGGTTACAGTAGACAACTTTTTGTAAAATTACCTGTTTTTATGATAACACCTTCTGTGATGTGTTTTTTACTACTCTGTGTGGCTGCCTGACTTAAAAGTCTGAGTAAATAGTTATCTGAACATTCATGTTATTTTTAAGCTTGAATTTACAAAATGATTCGTGTAAAATATATAAAGACAACATATGCAGGCAGCTCTCTTAGAATTATTTAGTTATAAATTATAGATGAAAACATTTCATCTGCAACTTGAGCTGTGAATTTTTATTAGTAAAAAAGGTCGTGGGCCCAGTCAACCCACTAAAAGATCCACTGTGTATATCACGGCCATTTGTAATCCAGGTGCATAGTGAGAGCACTTCAGTAAGGACCTTAGAGAGATTATGGAAGTGCATGCGTTTTGAAACAAATTTGTGAGTCTTGAAGAACAGAGGGATTCATTTGAAATACTTAAGTAAGAAGGTTGCATATAAACTTTTCCAACTTAATAAGGGAAATCTTTTAAGGTGCCACAGTTTGAAAATTGAAAATGGACTCTATTACACTCCAAATAGAGATTATTTGACTTCTTCTAAAGCTAATAGTATGTCAGACTAAATGGGAGCCATTCAGGTGGTTGACCTGCAGATTTAACAAATGTCAGTCTTCATAACTGTTAATTTTTGAGTATGCAGTAGTTGGGTTCTCTCTGAATAAGTCAAGGCGGGGGAAAGTGATTCGTTACCTTTATTTCATGTTTATTCAACTGGTCCAAATTGTAGCAGAGCCAGAGCTTAACCACAAGATAGAGTTTAAACCACAAATTCCATAGTTTCCATAAGTTCATAGTAGAGCCAGAGACTGAATCAGACCAAGCCACAGTTTAGAACCCTCATTTGCTAAGTAGTTCTCATTTTTTCATATATGACCTACTAATGTACTTTCTAATTAAATTAATAAATGTGAAACATTTATCTACATCTGTGTAACACACACAAAAAAAGTAAGCTTAAAAAGAAGCTTAGGCAGGAGCACGGCTAACATCTGAACTGTGTTCTGGTAAGGGGACAAGGTCTGTTACTTTTGCAAATCAATTTCTGTGAGAAGAAGCCTGAAGACATGTCCCCAGGGGCTATGCATAGGAGTCCTAAAGTGAGAATAATGTATCTAACTGGAATTTGGTTTGGAGCCTTTTTTTAGATGAATTTTTAGAATATCTTTTAGAGCTAAAACTAGAAAGACTGATTTGAAATCAACTCTGGATATCAGAGGAATGCAAGGCCTGTCACCTCAGGATGCACCAGGGGACAATTTCTGCATATTTTTTAGGATGTTAAACTGATAAAGAGCAACGTTAGGATTAAGTTCATTGAAAAAGCTTCTATTGAGCAGGAATTGAGTTAAAGCTAATTTTCCACTCAATATCATAGAAAGCTTTTAAAACTGGAGTTGTATTTTTTTTTCATGTGAAATTGAGTTTATATGGTTAGTGTACAGATAAATTGAAGGTAGGATATGGTGACTGTGCTATAAATATGATTAATTTAAGTGGAAGAGAAGGATTTAGTATCTCTGATGGGTAGATTGCTCCAAAATTTCTTGGCTGTTTTTTTCTTGCAAACATTTGCTTTTCTAGTATTTATACATAAAAAAGGAAAAGAAGCTATCTAATATCCAGCTTTGTTATGTCTTTCATCTTTTTCCCTTTTAGCTCTGAAAATAACACATTAAGCTGTAAAAGTAGTGCAGTACCTGAAGATACAAATGAAGAGAAAAACAGTAATGGTTGTAAGTACCTCTTTAAAATCTCCCTTCTGTCCCTACAGCACCATCTATAAGGACATGTGCAAAAGCAACATTTTGACATTTGAAATATGTGAGTAGTAGTATTTGTGGGAGAGCATATCACTGAATATTTTATATCTAGTGCAGTGAATTCTAAAACTGCACTGTAATCTTAATTATTTTCCTAGAGTAAACAGGTATGACATGAAGGAGGTAATTGTCAAAAAAACAAATTATTTAATAAACGATACTTTTTTTGGAGATGGTTTTAATTTCCACAGGATTCAGAGAGTAAGTTGGGCAGGAGGACTCTTGCAAAATGTGTTTTGTCTGCTCAGAAGTCTGACATACATTGGATGAGAAACACTTTAGGGAGGAGACAAACTGCCTGGATTGCCTTACCCTATTCGATAGAAGGGTAAAAATGGGACTTGAGCCCTATTGGGAAGATGTTTTTGTCATTGTTTACCTAAACTTTGGAAACATCAAAATCACATCAAAATTAAGCGTGGGCTGATGTCAGAATATAGGGGAATTCCTGTTTTCATAGTTAGGAAAAAATTCTGTCTATGAAGAGCAAAAGCAGTGAGTGTGGGGTAATGGCTTTAGTTTTGGATGCTTTGTGGGGATTAGTTTTCTCATGTGATCCTTGTTCATTTCTATTGTCTGCATTTTCACTTCTACTCGTCACTCAGTTGATCCTTCTGTAAGGATAGCTGGCCAGGGTTGAATGAAAATCATTTTTCAAGTATTCTTTCTTATCAGAATACACTCAGCAGAGGAAAAACATTCATTGAAAAAGTAGTCAGATTCACCCATAAGATTCTTGGCATCTCATGATGCTCTGCACTTTGTCATCTCAGCACTTTGTCACCTTAATGCTTTTGTGAAAGGATACATAGAAAATAAGCTTACCAAAATTAAGTTTTTGTCCATTCTAAAGGATTTCATCCTATAATATAGCATGTCGTTACTGCTACTGATAACAAGATTATTTATTTAAAGGGTACTAATTGTACTTTCCAGCAGGAGGAGTAATGCTTATAAGCTGTATATTCTTGAAGGTTCTTTTTGGTAGTGAGAGGCACTCTGTTTTCCCTTGTTTTGTTTCTATACACAGAACAAAAATGCAGTTGATTAGCAAAATGTGTGTCTGCGTAATGCTTAAATCATGCAGTACTGCTGCACATTCACACGTGTCATTTGGGAGTGCCTTAAATGCTGATTACCACCACATATTGCTTACAGAATCTTTACTCTTAAACTTCAAGTAGCTATATTATTTTATAATCTGTGCTGTTGTATGTAAATAACCATAAAAACTTACTTTAACAGCTGACCCATCCAGCCTCCTGCATGAATTCTTCAGTCCCATGGAAATCCTGTGCTTGGAAGGGAGTAGTTCTGCGGGCTTAGAGATTGATTTTCTTCCCTTTAACCTAGAAAAACGTTACTGCACTGTCTTTCTTGTTAATGAACAGGTAAGAATGGAAAATGAATTCTGCACATTACAAACATGTAATGTATATGCTAGCTTGTGAAAATGGAAATATTTTCTTTAATTTCTTGGTTAAAATACACTATTTCTATAGTTCTTAGAGGAAAATGCTACATAAGAAAATGATCGAAGAATAGACAGTTTTTGAATAAGGTTTACATTAAGGAATGTAAACTGAATTTTACTGCCGTTTAATCCCCTATGTATGTATGGAATGTCATCTTTTACTGTAAAATCATTACAGCTAATAATACTGTAAAGAATGTTACTTTGGCTTTCTTAGACAACTCAACCTCAAAACAAACACGAAATTTAAACCATTTGTCTTAATGTGGGAGCAAGAATGATACTTTAGTCTTAGGCTAATAAAATACAGAGAGGGAAGGAATATGGTCTTTACAGTACTGTACTTTTCCCTGTGTTTTCTACTGTATCAAGGACATGGTGTCATTTAAAGTAGAATATTTTTTCCTTCTCTCTCTCCTTGAACTACTTGTCTACCTGATTTCCATTCAGTCCTTGTCGTTAATGTAGCTTTAAAATTTTTTGAACAGTGTGTGAGTACTGGCTTGTAGTTTCTGTTAATTTATACAGTCTGGCAATTGCCATATATATGTAACTGAACTTGTTTTAATCAAATTACCAAGACCTATTGTTGGCCAACTTTCACAACATAAAATTTACGTGCCACCTTCTTGTAGTCCTTTGTTTTAGTAGTCTCAATCTTCTTATTTCTGTGTCTTTGTAAGTCCATCTTATCACCTATTTAACTTCTCCGTTGTGTTTTGCTGCCTGGCAATGTTTACCAACACCATTTTTTCTCAGATCTCTTTTTTTGTGTGGTTGATCTCAAGACTTGCATTGAGACTGCTGCCATATGTCAGTTTTACATCTATGCAATTACACACATTTAGCATTCTCTCTAACACACATTTAGCAAAGGAAGAGTTGTGCTCAGAGCTAGAGAACCTCAGGTGAAAAGGGAAAGATTATTTCTGATAGCCTCTGAAAACCACATCGCCACAGAGGTGACAGAGAAAAAGCTAAAATTATACACAGCAAACAACCAGTTTATCTTCTCGTAGCAGGAAGCATTCAAGTCTCTGAGAAGCTATTGCTGTACCTTATATATTAGCTATTTCTGAAACTCCCACTCCTTTCAGCTGAGTGAAGTAGGTGTAATGCATTTAAAGGCTGCTGAACACGCAGAGCTTTTGATAAATAGCACTTCAGCTTAGCAAAACTAAGTCTCATCCACATGATTATATTATATGTAAGACAGTGAGGTAAATCTCCTAGGGGAGGAGGAAATTGCAAAATAGCTAGCATGTTTTTAGAGCTATTCAGTAATAGCACAGGAAGAAATTGGCTATTAGGTACTGTGCATATGGCTGCAATATTCCAATTATACCATTTTCTCACTGACAAACCAACAGTTGGAAGATCAAGGGGCTTCATATAGTTATGAAGTTCTTATCTATTATGGACTTATGCTGCATGTAATCCTGCAACTCATTAATTCATCATTTCTGTATTTTTTTCCTTTCCACCTTTCTTACCCATTGTGACGAATGAGCTAAAATAGTAGTCAGAGTACAAATGTTGTTTTATTGAAGTCAATGAAGGTGCTGAGATGCACATTACTTATTAATACTTGAATCTGACTAGGAATACTGTCATTACATTCATGACATTTATGTGTCAAGAAGCTAAACTGGTTCCGTTTTGTTGGCTTACTTAAACATATTCCTTTTTTTTTATCTGAGAGAATGTGTATGTTAACTTTTCCAGTGTTTGTAATGACAGGCTGTAACACCAGTTGTTCAAAACATTTCTCAAGGATTTGTTTTAATATATCTCTCTGTTTAAGAAAAATGACACTGACATTCTTCAATTTATTAGCAAAGATCTCAGAGAAGAAATTGTGTATCAACTAACACATAATCAGGTTGTTCTTATCTGTAAATGTTTGTTTGCAGGAGCGAATTTACATGTTTACAACCCTTGTTTTCAGTTACAATTTTTTATGAAAGCATAATTTAAAAGTGCCAGTCCAGACTTTCACAGATGACTGCCTAATACAAAATATAATAGTTTATTAATGCTTAACTAGTGTTGTTCTTAATTTAATTTAAAGATGACTTTCATGGAGAGCAGCCAATCTCTAGTAGTTGTACGTTGTTTTGAAAAATAGGTCAGAAATGGGCTTACAATAGTTAACAATAGTTAAATAGCTATTTTATTAACTTTTTTTTTTAAGAATAGGCTGCATGGTTTTTTGGGGGGCTATTCTATTTGCATCTGATCAAACTAGAAATATAAAACATGAAACCATCAATACTACCTAAACTCTCAAAATACAGTAGGATATCTATGTTTTTCCAAAGAAACAAGAAAAACCTCAGCCAAAAAAAAAAAAAAAAGACATCCATTCTGTGGATGTCAAAGAGCCAGACTATCTGAAAACAACAAGGGAAATAGGGTAGTTTCTCCTCACATAAGCGTGTTGATGTCAGTGGTGATAAGGAAAGTAAATGATAGTAAAAGGGCATCCTAGCAACCAACACCTTCATGAAATTACTTGTATGCTGAGAGCTTATTAATGGTTCTTATGGAGGCAAAACAGTGTGTCAAACAGGAATAATTCCTGTTTAAATTGGTTCCCAGGAGTGGCTATTAGTTTGTATGTGGGAAACCAATTTTGCTCTAGGTTTGTTTAATCCTTCTCAAAAAAAAAAGATTTGTTTGACCTCTTGAACCAACAGAAGGGAGAAAATGCTGTGAAGCTTGAGCACCTCTCCTTTTGCTGTGGCAGAAACATACGTGTCGTATTTTCAGCCTTAGCATAAAAGGCGAAATAAGAAGGAGGCTTATCTTATGGTATTGACCCACAGCATAAAATTGAATTAGTGAGTATTAGTGAGATGAGCTATGTGATAGCAATGAATCCCCTCCTATGCTGAATTAAGATTAAATGACAGGATTTCTAGGGCAGAATATCACAGGATGTAGCTTGCCGAAATCCGAAAGGTGTCTGCTTGTGAAGTACTTAATCCTTAACCACGCGACCAACAAAAATTAATGGGGTCCAAACAAGTTTTCAGTAAACTATGAAATCATCAAGGCAATAAAGGTAGTACTTCTATTCATAATCTCCTGTATGGATTAGGTTGATAAACTAGTCTTGAAACTTCAGATACCTAATTTAGATATCCTTTTGAATGTTCTGATTGAAATCTTTACAGTGTAGAATATTTTCAGTTTTCTTTTTATAAAACTTTTCTGTCTTGCACTTGCACCTATTTTTTTTTTTTGCAATTCTTCAATACTTTTTATCCTTTCTTCTGTGGAAAATTACTGTCTTCCTTTGTTCTAGGTCATTTTTGTGTTTATTCAGATGCTTTTTCATTAATTTTGATGAAATAAATAAAATTTCTTAACTTTCTTCTGTCTGGAAAATTCAGAAGAATTTCCATGGTTCTGTCCTGCTTTTACATCAGCTCTTTCTTCTTATTCTTTTATATTATTGTATATATTTCTTAATAGTTCTTAATAGTGTCGAGTGATACAGTCATTTGATTTGTACATTTAAAATATTTGGAGCTAACTGCACATGATTAAATTTCATTTTATCATTGTATTTATTATTCAGAGTATCCTTATTCAATTAAATTCATTGTAAGTTGGAAAGTCTTTATTATCACAGAAGTCTTGAAATGATTGTTTTGTTTAAACATAGTTTTAAAATAATGTGTCTCCTGAATATATAAATAATTTTGTAAGTCAGATCTTCAGTATTAGTAGATTTTCTTTAATTTTAATGCTTTGCTATTTGTTCTGCTAGAGTCGCTTTCTAAATTAGGATGCATACACTTCTGTGTTTCAGATTGGAGAATTTGTATACCTGGTAGAGGGACAGGGGGATTTCCCTTTGCCTTCACCACTTCTGCCCATGGATAGTCCAAATGTCCTGAATGTGAGCAGTGCATTAGAAGGTAAAGTACTACAGTTGAGGACAGTCAATTTTATGGACCAGCTCAACAAGATGCAAAAGTTACCCCTGAAACAAAATGCACTGGCATGTGTCAGTCATGCAGCCTTCTCTACTATATGTCAAAAGACAACCCAGAGTAGTGTGGGGTGATTTTGCTTTAAGACACTGAAATGACATATCAGAAATCTGTGTTAATACTCCTCACTTGTTATTATGAGTTAATCTTATGGCCCAAATTCCTTTCCTGTTGAGACTAAAACTAAACTATGTGAAATACCCCTTGTATGCACTGTGCCAAGTTGGATTTTAACACTGCAGTACCCCGTGGTTGCTGCTATGTGCACATGTGCACCCTCATCCACTGTTTTGCTTTCCAAAATATTTTCTTACCACATTTTAAAGTGGAAAAATGAAAACAAGTGTGTAGATTTTACATGTGTAAAAGGCACTGAGAGCTGTAGATCTCAGAGAAGTGCATTTGAAAACATTGTGAGTTTAAGAGGTATAACTGGAATTACACTGCTGGTGGCTTCATCTGGGAGGAACAGAAAATCATCTAGAGGGGTAGAGGGTGATATGTAGGTGCCAGAAAGATGTTCTGAAACTGAGGCTACCACCCTGATAGCAGAAATACTAAAATCCAGGAGTTTTTATTAACTAGGACAAGAAATACTTGATTTGGATTTTGAGCTATATTCATTTTTGTTTTCTCATTATTGTGAATATATATATGTTTTTCTGGAGTAAATAGCATGTATTATCAAATCCATATCAAAGAAATTTTGTCTTTGGAGGATTGGCATTTAAAAAATATTCTACTATTACTCTCTACAGTACCTGAGAAATGACAATTATTACAATTTTTATTTCTTTCTTTTTACAGGTCCGAGTAGGGTAGATCCTATTTTGCATTTGAAATGTGGTCTTGCTCAGACTCTTGAAGAAAATCTGAGGATCCCATTGGTCAACGAAGCAAGAGAGATGGCTCTGGCCATGGCTGCACAACAACAGATGTCAGCTCTTGAGTACGAGAGAAGAAGGATCACAGGCACTCTGGAGAGCAGTAGTGTCCGAGTTGCCGTTGCATTATTAGGGCTGTCCAAAGTAGAGGTGAGGAAAACAGTAAGCTGCTACTATAACTTTTTGTTGTTGTCGTCCTTGATTTATAGGTCTGAATGTTCTGAAGATGCTTCCTCATTCATGTTATTAAGTAGCACTTCCTTTAATAAATCTTAGCTACAGTGAAAAAAAAGAATATCAGCTTCTTATTTTAGTTAGCTTCTAGAAATGCATCTTGGTTAAAGAACCCTTCACACTCTAAGTATTAGATATTCATGTTGGTGTATCCTCTTAGGTGCGTTTTCGTAGGGAATGAAAATTTTCAAATAGGATTTTTTTAATTAAAGAACAGACTCGGTCAATATATCAAGGTGTAAAAAAGACTTTTTCTTGCTTCTCAATCAATCAAAATAGTTTTGGAAAACGGCAAATATTCCTTGTAAGCTATAACTCCCTGTGTATACATAGTTCTAACCTGTGGATAGTTTTCTAAGAATTCAGAAAGCAGGCTGTTCCTTTAAACATCAATTAGGATTTGTGAATAGATTTATAATAGCAGTACTGCCAACTAAACAAGCATTTTTCTTATGTAAAGTTCAAATGTAAGCTTATATGGCTGATGGTCAAACACTTGAGTTTTATGGTTTAATTTCCCTTGTGAACCTGATGTTACCTGGCCTCAGGCAGCTATTTTTATACCAGCTTTCCATCTGGACTCCTCCCAGATTGTGGCTCCCAGCACTTCATCATTTCCAATACTAAGAAGGAAAACCTTTTTCTGGTGTCTTGATGATATTGCTAAATTTATGTGTAACTGTAATTTCAGTTTACAGATAATGAAAAAATGTACAACAAATTAAATGAGGAAGAAGAAAGTAGATTTAATCTGTGACATATTTTTAGTAGGGCAAGAATATTAAACATGTAATCTAGAATCAAATATTTTCCTTTTGGATGTTAGTCTCTTCCCTGCTGTGGTGACATTTAATAAGCTTTTCTTAATTAAAGGCCTGTAATGCCACCATCACTTGACAAATACTCGATGAAAGACTTGGACTGCTCTGAAGTTGGGGATTTAATCAGGACTGAGAACAAAATAGGAGTAGTCTTTTACTACTAGGTATGCTAAGACCTAATGTGCTTTCTGACATTACTTGGATTACAAAACAGTGGAGGATGATTAGGTTACTTACGAGATATGAAATGATAGATAATAACACTGAATCAGTCATCATGTGAGAGGTGATATAATATACAGAACAACATATTTTACAGCATTCACGTGAAGACTTATAATTGTTCACGAGAAATAAAATGGAGTTACTCCGATATATGCTGATGTGAAAAAGACTTTATACTGTGAAAAAATATTTCCTGATAGGGTGACTCACTATACAGATTAAATTATGAAAAATGTTCCTCAGCACTTTTTAATCATAAATTCACACTTACTGCCTGCATAAAAACAACAGTATACAAATTCTAGTGACATTTATTGAAGAAACTTTCTTGAGGGAGGGCTGCAGTTTATTTTGAAGGTGAAGTATGCTTTTACTTTGTCTAAATGGCCTTACCTCCCACTAAAAAAGACCATCCAAAGCACCTGCAATTTGATGAATTTATGTATGCCCATGAAATCCTTTGTAAGGTATAGATCAGAGATAAATCTAGAATCTCTGGAAATTTCTTACTTTTTAATTTCCTTTTCACCTTTCTACGTAGTTCTTACAGGTATAACCATGTGATAAAATTAGATGGGAAGGTATCCTTATGCTATTACTGCTTGATAGTCCATCTGCATCTGTAAAAATAAATAACTAAATAATTACACATTTTTTATTTCTTATTAAAGTGTTTTACTCATGTCTGCTTACTTATACAAACTAGGAATAAGTATATGTTATATTTCTGGAGTTAGACTGGATATGTATTTTCAGTAACAAGCAATAGATGTTTTTATTTGACTAATCTCTATGGATTGATTAAAGTCCTCGATATTTGTTTGCTATGTTTTTACAGATGCTTTTCCTTCCTAGATAAAAAAGGATATATTTTGATTTGTGTCTTTGATGATATGAGATATGAGAAGATAAATGAATTTTTATATCTTTTGAGTGAAACAGTTGTTGCATTGATCGGAACATACTTATTCTATTGTTTCTGAGCTAAGTGCTGCCACTATTGGGCCAGTATTACATAATTTACAAGTAGAGTTACATGAAGAGTTAGGAAGGAAGAGTTAATGAAGAGATAGAGGTCCCTTCCAACCTCGACCGTTCTGTGAGTCTGTGAAGATAGGAAAGAGGGACATTAAAGCAATAAGCTGCCAAAGATGCAGATCTCAAAGATATAGAGAGAAAGGGGAAAAAAAAAGTTAAAATGAGTATCCATTTCCTATTTAATCATATCAATATGTACCCCATGTACATAAAGTCATAGAAATTGAATGCTACCTTGTCCAGCGCTGACTGTGAATGCTTTTTGCATTTTAATGAAAAAAGGCAAGTTCTAAATTTTATTTCTACTGCTTGTGAGTATTAATTTCCTACCTCCTGTTTAAGTATTTAATTAGCTTAATTCCTCTTAAAATATTTGAGGCAGTCATAAAGGGAATATACCTCTGAACTCTCTGTCACAATTAAGGTTGGCACTGGCATTATTATGGATAATTATGAATTGGTTTTGTTAATGGTGAATAAGAGAAAGTTGTCAGCGGGAAGCTTAGGTGAATATAAATAACAAGGGAAGAAAAAAGGCATTTAGAAATAGGAAAGAATACATGGAAGATGAGCATACGTAGCTGAGGTTGAGATTGCTAGAGCTTGAGAAGTGAAGTGAATAAAAAGAACACCGGAAGAAACAGAATAGCCAGGATCCTTTCCTGTGGGGATGTCAGGGAAAGAATGCTGCAGCCAGTGAAGTGGAATTCAAAGTGACGTTTTAGCTTTCTTTTCTCTGCTTATCCATGCAGAGGCACAAATTACATCCAGGATCTAGGTACAGTCCTTTCCTTTGTAAGAAAATCTCTTCGTATAATTAGACACTGGTAGGAAAGGGAGAGATGTTCCGTAAGAATCCCAAAGCTAAAGCTTACACCTCCCACTGCTGTCTGAACTGGTCTCTTCTCAGACATACAACCAGGCTTACATTTTATATGGTACTAAATTAGAACTTAGAAAACAGTAATATGTGAGGAATAAGAGGTGCAGCAGCACTCTGGAAAGTGTGCAGCACATACTGGAAAGAAACAGAACTATTGCGTGGTGGATTGGTGTTTATCTGAAGTATTTTGCATATTTTATCTTGTCGTGGATATGTTACCCTTCGAGGCAATAGATTTTAGTCTAATGTATGTTTATGGGTGCCCCTCCCTACCCCTCTCTATACTACTCTTTAAAGCAAGATCTAGATCTCCTACTAAATTATTATCCTTCTTTAATCTTTGAGAAGATACCAGGATATATTTGAAACATTCATAGACAGCTGAATACTAACCAGCTGAGATTTTTTTCTAATATATTTTAAAAGATGAGAGAACATGAATATGGATACTTCAGTGATTTTAGGAATCATGAAATATATCTTCATGATAATCACCAGTTAAATGTCCTCAGAGTTCAGCTAAAACTCTTTCAGTTGTATTATTAGTTAAGATTTTCCAAATTTTTTTTATCCTGCTTCAGTGTAATGTGGTTTAGGTGACCTTGCTTGAGCGGGGAGTTTGGACTATATGATCTCCAGAGGTCCCTTCCTACTTCAATGATTCTGTGATATTGGATTTTTAATCAATTTAAGTTTTTATTTTATATTTGAATATGTAGAAGATCAAAGACAAATTTTAACTGGTAAATGTATGTAATTAAGTTCGTATTTCCCATTACAAGTGAGAAAGATGCATGTCCCTCCTCCATTCCCCCTGCCCCAGTGAGATCTTTTGTCATTTGTCATCTTTTGTCATTTTGTCATCTTTTGTATTCTATCAGAGAGAAATTGACTTTCTTATTGACATCACAAGTGAATCATTAACACCCATTGATTCTGTGTTTGTGTGTGTGTGTGTCCATGGAAACTATCAGGGATTTTCCACTGAAATTAATTAACAGTGAGTTCAGTTTATTAATTCACATCACGTTTCTTCTTGTCCCTGCCCGTAAATTATTTTGAAAATATGAGTGATACAAAAGAAAAAGTAACAATGTTAATATTTTGTTTAGGTGAATATTATTTTAGGCATATACATCTGTCCAGTCATACTTTGTGGAACAAGTGTCTTTTATAGATTTTACAAAAAACTGTATTAGCCACTGAAGTTTAACAGATTCTCAGATTCCATATGGACTTTGTGCTTAGCAGTGTACTTTGTGTACTCAGTGTAATTTGGATAGATAGATTAATAAGCAAAGCAACGGCAAACAATCAATTTAATTTGTAAACCTGCAAGCGAATGAGTTCTTTATTAAACCAAAAACCAAAATAAAACACCAGTTGATTTGAACAACAGGTTGACAGTGTTCTTTTTGATAGTAATCTTAGTCATTATGAAAATTCTTTTTCTTGTTCACAAATATTTCTTTGAATTTCTCTATTTTTAAATCATAGTTCTCCAGCTTCCACACTACACAGTTTTGTTTGCTTTTTAATATTTTCGAAGTTGTTGTATAGCTCAGGGTGACATGTTGGAGTCCTTCCATAAGAATCAGTGTTTGAAATTTTTTTCTTTGAACTCCCACAGTGGATCTCTAGTGTCTGTCCCCTTGTGATACCTGCTGAGATGCCTACTGTCCTGGCATTATATAAAGCCACAGAGTTTTGATTTTTCCTAGCATAAACATATACTTCCAAGTCAACACATGTTGTCTTGTTGAACTGATAATTGTTAAACTTAATCATTGCAAATATAATACTGTATTATTGGATTGAAAATGGTTAATTGGGGCCAGTAGTGTATTAAATTTTTGTATTATTTCTGTAACGTCTCTTTCAGGTTTTGATTTTTTTTTTCATTAAATTGGCCTGTTTTGAACTTGCCTTTATGTACTGTTCTAATCTCTTACGAATAGCTTTTCATGCTGTGTCATGCAAGACCTTTTACCAAGAATCATAGAATCATAGAATGCTTAAGGTTGGAAGGGACCTCTAGAGGTCATCTAGTCCAACCCCCCTGCACACGCAGGGTCACATGGGCAGATTCAATGACATTCCTTGACATACTCCAGTCGCTCAAGTATTTTGCTGAGTCAAAGCCATCAGTTCCTTCAAAATTTTTATTTATGCTTTGATTTCTAAAACATACTGTGTCACATCAGTGTTCAAGTAGTTCAACTAGCTATACGTATATTGCTCACTAAAAAAATTGAAAAAAAAATCCTTACTGTAGTTTTTAACATTTAGAAACTTTGAGAGTGGGAAAACAAGTATCTGTCTACAACTGATATAAAATAGATTTTTCTATTAATGATTTTTCTCCACTTTTCTGCCTTCCCTGAACAACTATAAAGCCTTACAGAGTGAGGGGGCAGACTGAAAATGTCAAAATACATTATTTTTAAGTGAATATTTCAGACGCTTTATATCTAAAAATGTGTACAGGACATTTATTTCTATAAGGATCTCTTGATGCATTTAGAACTTGCCTAATTACCAATTCAGTTATAGAAGTATGTCCTTAAGCCTATATAATTTTACATTCTTTGACCTGAGATCTGGTAGTGATGATGGCTCATCTGTACACATTCCTCTTTCACTTGCAGAGAGATGCGCTCTTACAACCCTGTAAATTTCCCCCAGAGTTAAAGTCTGTGGACTACAGCGTCGAAGTGAACATGCAGGAGTTCTTTGAGCTTCCTGAAAAGGTCTCTATTCCAGTGCTAGCATCAAGCAGAGTTCATTTCAACGATCCTTCAGAAAAAGAGCTTTCACCTCAGAAAACAGGTAAGAGCCGCTTGTTGCTGTAAATTGTAGCTTAAACTGCAACTGATGGTGAACTTGGATTTTCCCTGAGACAATTTTGTTTTGTTTTGCTTACATTGTTGTAAGCTTACATTTGTTTTGTTTACATTTTGATGCCACCTGTGCTAGCGGATGATAACAGCACCAGCTGTTACCGTAAGCATCTGATAGCAACCCTTGCAAAACAGTTTTGGTTTTGCTAGTTAAAATGTAAATAATAATTTCTTAATTAAATACTGGTAAAAAAAAATACTTACAGTGAGTTCACTACTGTGAAGAGTTTATAGCTGTCCACATTTCCACCATATCCAGTGGCAACAGAGTAGGTTTCTGCTTGAGCTGCATGGGCAAAGTGATCCTGGCCATGGGATCAGAAAAGGACTAAATAAAGCCCCAGTTGATGTTGTTGACGGCAAAGACTCTGCTGTGCAGGAAGACCCTGGATTTTTGTACAGCACAAACAAGAATCTGGCATAGCTGCTACAGACTACTCAAGATTGAAGGTCCTCTTTGTTAAGATTCATTTTTTATCTTTTCTCTGAGCATTTGGTAGAAGGAATCATTTTACTTGGACTGCGTGTTCCTGCAACTTCTTGTGGCACTTGGAACCAGGCATATGCTTTCACGGCTTACATTTGTTTTCATACATATCCAATATATGTGGCATATATAGAAGAGTATCCCATGTGTTTCAGTTTCTTTTCAGAGGAAAAAAAACCCATGATTTTTAACAAATCTTTTTGTTACAGATTCATTCTGTCTGGAGTAGAGAAGCTGTGCTGTAAAACCATTTAGGGTGTCTTTGGGCATTTTTTAGGAAGAAGAGGAAAGCTATTGCAATAATAGAAGCAAAACTAGTTTGGAGTATAACTACAGGATTAGCACAGTTAGTAAGATGGTAGAATATATATAATGCAGGTGGGTAAAACAGATACAACACAGATTGGAAACTGAAAAAAATGTCTTGAAAAACAGCATATTTAAATCATAGCTGAATCCATTTATTCTTAAGAAATAATTGCCTGTGTTAGCAGTAATTAATGCAGAGGTCAAGTAAAATTATAATGGTTTTGTAGAGTAGTATAGGAGATTTTTGGATTATACCATACAGAAGAGAAACACCAATTGGGAAAGATGGGGAGCTCTACAAACACAGAGCCAAAAAGGGCAAGATGTCGCACACATCGTGATCTCAGAACAGCCGTTACTGACTGACCAAACAGCAGGTCACGGTTGCTTAGCAACCTCTGAAGTTGTTTTTACAGTTTAAATGAGGATGAGCATGCATGAACATTCTAAAATACTAATTAAAGTACTAAAATACTAACATTTTAAAATACTAATACGAAGAAAGTAAATTACTTTAAGGCAGTGAGGCAGTGGTTATTTTTCTATTAGTTCTTGCTCTTTTTTTTTTTAATCCATCAATCAGAAGAAATGATTAAACTATCAGAGAGAGGAAAGTACCTAGGGGGAAAGTTAGACACTAAGTCATACATCAGAGAATACAATCTTTTGGATATTTATTTCCTTTCTAAGACACTTAAATAGGACACTTAAATAGACACTTAAAATCAGGAAGAGAAATCTCAGAGACATTGCTGAGAACTAAGTGGGATTTGGGGAATGAATTCAGAGAGGTGGTGAGATGAAGAACAGCTAAAATGGGAAGATGAGATAATCAGCCTATAGTGTGAAAACAGTGACAGATTTATTCTGTGGAATGAAATGGACAATGCAGTTAGGTTCAGGGTATTTGTTTTGCTAATAGGGAATTTTATAGTCTGTTGAAAATACTATATTCTGACAGAAATCAGCAGTTGGTGTTCCTGTGACAAAATGTTGGCCTCATCAGGAACTTTTCTGTTATCTGAAGAAGAAGCAGGATTTCAGCCACTGGGGCACTTTGCTTAGGATGAGAATAACTACTACTTCAAAGAAATGTCAGTGCTTGGCTTTATGAAGAAAAATAAAGGTGGAAGCAAGATAACTGAAATCAATCCTTGCTTCATAAATTCTTAGATTGCCGTTGCTGTAAAAGGGTCTGGCAAATAATATAAGAACTTTGTCAAATGGGAATTAGAAGGTAAAAATCGATGCCAGATAACATAGTAAAATGTTATAAAAAAAAGAAGATTACACAGCACACTGATTGCTCACTGTTGATTTAAAATGTGATCCTCAGGGGATTCAGTTTCTTGGAATTATCAGAAGTAGCCTGGGAAATAACTCAATCCCTGTTTATACCCCTGGCTCAGACAAAAGGTAATGAACAGCAAAACTTTTCTGTTTTGTAATCAAAAGGAGAATGAGTTCAGTTATCTAGACACTTGTGTTATCCATGCTTAACCTTAACATGAGCTTTTTCTTGGCAACATGATGGTGGAGAATGAGAATGTCATCAAAGTTGAAAAGTAATGGATCCAGTTTTCAAGTAGCATCCGAAACAACATCCAAAAACATCTCTGTGTTTCACCAAAGAAACAAGTTGCTGATTTTCTTGGATATGGCATCCCTAGAGATGGTTTGTCTGTCTCCTCTCAACTCTCTGTTCACTTCCAGAGCAAAAATTGTCAAAGTTACACTTGGCTGCAGGTTTAAGCTAGTGGATTTTATCCCTTTTTCTTCCTATCTCTCTCCCATCCCTTGCCTTAACCCCCTGTTAGCTGGGAAGATGTGAGGTTGAAGTTCAGTAAGAAACTGTTGTGAGATTACTAAAGCTACAAGCACAAGGAATGGCAGCCAAAAAGGCCATAAGACTGTCTATTATTATTAGGCTACAGCCTACTGTGAAAGTTTTACTCATTATTAAGCTACTATAAGAAGATACACTTGCTCTTAAAATTCCTTCTTAACAAATCTTTCTTTTCTGCTCTGCTTATTTTTCTTTCCTAATGAATTTTTGATTTCTAATAAAATCAGAGAAAATTAAGAAAGAGATATAACAAACTGCCCAGCAGCATAATCATCAGAATTAATAGAGTGACTGTCATACTATGCAGAGTTGTTTCCTGATGAAACAGGTTTTTACATACCCATGTGATTTAAGATACTATTGTAATTTTTCACTATAGTCCCTTTTTGTTGCTATAAGAGTATGGTGTAAACCAAACGTGGAAATAATAAGATACGTTTGTATTATAGTCACTTGTTTGCGTACATTATGCCTGTTGTTCATGTTGGCACAGGGGGGCAAGTTTATTTTAGATAAGGATAATTTGTTTTTGTTTACATACTGTCTAGCAAAACAGGATATTAATCCCAGGAATTCTACCAGTAGTAATGAACAGTGCATAGTTTTTACAATATAAATGCTTTATTTGATCAATTTATTATATAGAGAATAGGCTTACTTAGGGGAGTCCTGTAAAGATATACATTGGCATGGTAATTAGGTATCTGATACTTTCTCACAACTAAGAAGAAGAAATTCCTGATCTTAGACTGGTACCTATAATACGTGTCCTATTCATTAACAATGAGGATCTCAGATTTACATCCTGGCCCAAAATCCACATCTTCAGCAGAAGTAATATGGCAGCCCTCAGGCAGCCCCGATAATTGTTGAATCTGTGTTAATTTATGGGAATACTGCCCATGTAATATTGATCTGATCTCAGTATTTTTCTTACATAGGCTCTAAAATTAGAAATATTGCATGTTGTGATCTTATTGCTGTTCTTTGCAATAAATAACATGCAGAAAACCAAGCAAACAGGATATCTGATCATTATTTGGCATAGTTTAAATTATTTATAATGAAAAATTCTTCTTAATATTTTCTTTGTTTTCTTCAGTCATATCGGACAACTATGTAAAAATATTTAGCCTACACCATCTATAGTACACATTTTTCTTATTCTAGCAATATCTTCTAGTCAAGGTATTTTTTTTCCCTAAATAAATATGTCCTTTCTGTGTCTTCTAAATATCATCTCATACACTTGCTCAGCATTGCCTTTGATCACAGCAATCTTAACCTTCCCCTTCTCCCACCCCTCAAGTAATTTCCTGGGACTTTAAATCTCTTCTCCAATAAAATGTTATCAGCAGTTCTGCTGTTTCATCCTAGTGGTCCATGCTTCACATGCTGTATACATTTTCCAGCATTTTAGTTTTTTATTCAATAAAGTTCTCATGTTTTCTATAAAATAACCTAGTTTCTCACCAATAGCACAAGTTTATTATCTTTTCATTTTACTGTTTGAATGTTGAGGTTTTATACGAGCTCCTACCCTATTAAAACATCCAGAGTTGAGTTTTGTAATTTAACTGACAGTGATAAAAAATTAATTACATTTGATAGTTTTAGTCAGCCAGAATAGTGGGACACAGATGGGATTTAAAAGTTTGTATGTGCACCATACAAAGGATTTACTGAGAGAATAATTCTATTTCAAAGTGTGACTGAAAAATGATGAAATAGATTTATATATTTGTTGCTATATTCATTGAATAAGTTGTTTTGGTCTTGCAAAAAGGTCAGAGGTAATTTAAATATTGGCCTGGATGTTTTGCTTTAATTTTTGACACCTGTAGTGGTGTTTCTGGAGGAGAATAACTGCATTTGCTATGTTTTTTGTGTAGTGAAAAGCTTTTGGAAGGTCTCTTTTATGCTGACTTACTGATACAATGAAGAATAACATTCATCCTCAGGAAAAAAATAATCCGTGTATTATTTCCCTTATTGTCTGTTCAGAAATTGGTATCCTCATTCACTCCTTGATTGTGGTTAGAAGATTCAGTGATATCTAGAATCTGCCTGACATAAGAACATGGGGATAGACAGCGATGGCTTCAAGCTCGCTTGACAAATGAGGCCTTTAGGGCTCAGGATACTGTGTAAAAATACATGATTTAGACCTTTGTCTATGAATTTTGACAACCGCTTATATGACTGTCACTGTTAAGGCCAGTCATTGTCTTTGCTGTCTTTGACACTTACGTTTGTGATGCTCAGAAGATACTCATTCTCTGTAGCC